TTTTTTTATCACATGAAAATGAATGGATTAGTGGCGTTTTCGTAGGACAAAAATCGCAACATGAACACTTGTTCATTTGAATGAGGGTGCGATGATGGGACAAAAAAATTGAACGATGAATGTAAGGTGTACAGTATAGCCACCTTCAGAATAAACTACAGCAAATCCTACTCACATGCTACTGGCTGGTGTACTTATCACTCTTTTATATTCTTCAAGTGGTCTGCTAGGTGTGTCTTCTCCCTTTTCTTTCATTATAGAACCAGGGTAATAAGGTAGGAACATTGTTACCACTCCAAGAGAAAGCACCTGAACAAATAAGCTTCATGGCAGAATCACCAGGTAAGGTATTAGTTTAAGGAAAGCTGTGGATTTAATAAGATTGAAAGATCTACTTTAAATATGTAAAGCGCTTTTTAAAACTAATATAGGGATGCAGCGATACCGTTTTTTCGGTATCGAGTATGAGTATCAATATTTTGCTTTTGGTACTCGCCGATATTGAGTACCGATACCGTGCATCCACTGGCATGGAGCCGGCTTCCTGGTCAATCAGCAAGCCGGGTGGCGGGTAATGACATGCTACCTGGCTTCCTGATTGCTGGCTCCATGTTGTTTGGCCAGCTTGATTGTAATTGGCCGGGAAACCGGCTTCCCAGCCAATTACCATTGAGCCTGCTTCCCGGTCAATCAGGAAGGCAGGCGGTGAGTAATGACCAGCCTCCCGGCTTCCTGATTGACCGGGAAGCCGGCTCCTTGCTGATTGGCTGGAAAGCTAGCTTCCCAGCTAATCAGCATGGAGCCGGCTGGTCGGCCGGCTTGATGCTAATTGGCCAGGAAGTTGGCTTCCCAGCCAATCAGTAAGGAGCCGGCTGTTCGGCTTGCTCCATGCTGATTGTCTGGGAAACTGGCTTCCTAGCCAATCAGCATAGAGCCGGCTTCCCGGCCAATCAGGAAGGCGGGCGGCGAGTAATGACCCGCCTCCCGGCTTCCTGATTGGCTAGGAAGCCAGCTCCATGTTCCTCTACGGCACTGCTGGTCAGAGGAAATCTTCCTCTGACCAGAAGTTCCAGTATCGGGGAAGGTATCTGAGCATTTTTTGCAAGTACTCACCCAAATACTCGTTATTAGCATCAATACAGATACTAGTATTGGTATCGGTGCATCCCTAATAAATACCAATAATAAATAAATAAATAAATAAAATACAAACTGATGTAGGACACTGCTAAACATAACTACGGACTCAAATGTACTAAGCCTAACCTACAAATTCCAAATAATGACTAGAGAGAAGATACATTAGGGGACAGAAGGTTGTGTGATTGAAGGTGCCTATAAAAATAAACTATATACCAACATTGTTTGATATGGACACTGATTAGTGATTTGATTCACCACATCTTGACGCATTTCATGAACAAAGTTTACTTCTTCTGGAGAGAGGTGGAAATCTGTCATTATATAGATACAAGATTAAAGGAGAACTATGAGGTGAGTGATTTTCACTCACCTCATTGTTCTAGCCGACCTGTGACAATGAGACTGTCACACATACCGGCGTTCGCTCACCTCTCGATTCTGTCACGGCTCTCTGCCTTGACAGGGGAGGGGCTGGATTCCCCCGCTCTGATCCGCCAGCGCTGACTGGCGGAACGGACGGGGGAGGGGGCGGGTACAGCTGGCTCTGCCTTTAGATAGGTAGAGCCAGTTGTCAGTCAGGCAGCTGGGCGGATCCAGGCAAAATTGTCGGTATCCGCTTTAGCTGAGGCGTCTCAGTATACCGCGAGCAGCTGCTCGCGGTATACTGTGGCGTCTCAGTATACCGCGAGACCCATAGTTCTCCTTTAACACTTGCCACATACAGTACATATAGTACAATAATCAATCTATAATGTACTACACTTATGTAAATACTGTCACACAAATCCAATCCTATCATAAGGAACATTTCATTTCTTTATGATTGGACTTTATCTGGACACCAGAAATGAAAGCTAGAAGCTGTCGGCTTCTAATCTGCCATTGCAAGTTATAGGTCAGTTGTAGGTCAGAGGGGAAAAAGGACATGTGGAAGCCAGAGCCCCAGCTGAGGGGCTTACATAATGTTTCAGCTATGCTTACAGCAACCACTACCAAATATTAGAGAGATTAACATAGACTGCCCAGAGTTCTTCTTTAAATAAGAGCATTCTTTGTATGTAACACGGCAATATAACATGTCCCCAGTACAGTTTCAGAAAAGTAGCATTCTAGTGAAAAGCTACCATATGCCCAATTTACATGGGGAAGTATTTGGAACACAGAGAACCTGTGTGAAGGCTCTCCTCCTCAACAGGTCATAGCTAAGCAAGTGTGCCTCAGGGAACAAAGCTCCTCATCAGTAAAGGAATAGTAATTCTGGTGCTTCTTGTGTGAAACAAGATGTTGATGCAATGGTGGAGAAGTTCACAGGCATGCCCCACTGTTTCCCCAGTGATCTTAAAGCAGGGTGGACACTGACATCAAATTATCCTGGCTATTTGGTTTAGAAAAAGAGGTAATTTGCACATAAGAAACAAGCCCAGCTTCAGAATGAAGACACTGCATATGTTCAGCTATGTCCAGAGAACCAGTTTTAGAAAGAATAATGCATGTCCTGGTTTGAACCATGCTCCCTTCTACAATGTACAATGCAGAGAACAAACCAGTACAGACTTCAGACAGAATGAATGTAAACAAATCAACGCTTACTTGTCCTTGCCTGTGATGACAGTTTTCGAAGTTCAGAGAAAGGAAATGCAGAGGCAAGAGGTTAATTATACAAAGTGGCATGCCAATCTACAGTCATCTTTAAGCTTGTTTTACTTATAGTTAATGTGGCCGCTGTGAATGATTTGTAGAATGTATGACATTTTCCCTCTGTCTTTCCGTTCTTTCACAGCGTAAAGAGAAGCAAGGCATACATATAGAATGAGCTATGTAAAAAAGGCCAGCGATCATAAATATTACAGCTTGCATTTTGCAGCATATATTTTCTGCTTGCATATTTTTCTTAATGTGTTTATTTTACACCATTTAGTACTAGAGCTTTGTCTGGATTACAACTGATGTGTTTTTTTCAGCATCTCTGAGCTGATCTTGGGATGGAGCAGATGTATTGCTGCACGAATATGAGCCCAGAGGGAACCAGCCTCAGACATTAGAGCACATCTTGACTCCTGGCAGGTGGGCGGCACATAATTATATATGGCAGACAGAGTAAGTGGTCAGTTCATACTAGTCTTGGGCTGAAAAGGAGAAGGCTAATGTCAATGATAGTTTTTGGGCACTATGTTGCTTTTCAAAGGGTAAAACTGAGTATTGATTTTCTGTGACATGATAAGCTCAGGCTTTAAAAGTCCATCACTGTGCCAAAAATATAATGCAATTGGCAAAAGTCCTGCTTTTTTCAAATTATGAGCAACAAAAGACGTAAACGGTTTTCCCAATTAATGTTTAGTGGCAGCACGGTTTTGTTTTGTTTTTTGCAGTTATTCTAAACCAACAATATCTGTGTCCAATATCTAAAACAACATTATAAGACAATGACATGGTAGTAGTAGTGTGTGGGCCACCAAGGAGGAACTCTCCATTTTGGTTAATGTGGAGTTCACCAAATTTTGTCTTCTGCCTGGGCGATTGCCCATGCCTGACATAGCCAATATGGGCTTAGCACTCAGATTTAAGCTAAACTACTTGTGTCATAAGACTACTGTGACTTATATATGAATACCTATGGAGAATCTGTGCCCTGTAGTACTTGTTAAAAGCTTAACAAAGCTGGCAACAACAAATTATGTGAAAGTCGGATTTAGAACAGATTGAACCTTTCCTGGATAGCAGTCCACTTGCTGGTTTGTAACCTTCCTTGCTTTTTAAGCTGCATATTTTACATTCTCCTTAGGTCCACACACTGCAGATGCATTTATGGCCAGACATTTGTATGACTGCGAGCCAAACAAGAGCAGACTTTTAAACATTTACTCAATTCTGCTGGTTGATTATAGAAATGAAAGACCAGATTGTGAAGGATCAACATTTAACTAAAACTGACATACACATTACAGGGTGGTTGTATGTGCAAGCATGATCTTACCGTCCTCAGGCAATCATATTGGCCGCTGGGTCTCTAAGCACAAATTGTGCGTCTCTTCATGCTTAGTCTACGGGAAGAGGGAAACAAGGAAAACAAAACATCACCCCTGATTGGCTTCGCCAGTCGATGTTTCTTCGAGTGACCCATAGATATTAGATTGTCTCTCAAATCCAGACAAAAATGTAATAGTTACAGGACATTCAGTTAATGTGTATGGATACCTTAATATTTTCCCCATTGTTACTGTTCGGGATGGACCCAATTTGAAAGTTTCCCCACCTCTAGGAAACATATTAGGAGTATGTAGAAGAATGGCAGGTAGTTATTAATTATGAGGCTCCATGGTAGTTATTAATTGTGAGATTCCAGCATTCTACACTCACACATCAGTTCTATAGTAAAGCTGTAAGTGTGTACATGGCGTAGTAAACAGCATGTGTTAAAGCTTATATTCTGCATTCACACACTATAGCACTATAGTATAGTCAGTTCTGCATGCACATAGCAATGCTATTGTAAAACCACAGTTCTGCACTCACACATCAGTGCTATAAGCATACTGCAGCTTTCAAATCACCCCACACATCTCAGTCATCCCACACACGCTGCATGATGATAAAGCAATGCGAAATGTACAAGTAACCATACTTCAAATGGCAATCTAATTGTACACTTCCATAGCATGTGGTAGCCATCTGCTGGCAAGTCGTGTAAAGCCAGGTAATCTGGTTCAGCTCCAGATATTGTATATAGCAATTAGTAGAGTTTTTCTTGTAACAAGGCACCATATACAAGCTCCATTGAAGGTTTCTTCAAGCAGGCACCCTCTCTGCTCAGCTGTAAAACCCAAGCAGCCTTTATACAATAGGAGAATAAGACACAGGGAGGGGTTATGGGAACAGAATTCCCATCCAAGCTGTGCGCTTTGAAGCCTGCCCTCCTTACTGCTCTGTATCTCATGCCTCCTCCCTCATGCTCTCTCTCTCTCTCTTCAGCTTGCTCTCTCTATAGCTCTGTAACTTTGCTTGTTGTACACATAGCCTCGATATGTCTTTCTGGTGGATTTATCCTGCCCTGCTCACTTTCTGCACCCTGTTTTATTGCCAGGCTCTGAGGACATACCCATCCAATGAAGGTAGGGGAGCTCTAACACACCTTATCTTCCTGGGTACCAGTTTGAGGATGTAAGAAAGATTTCAAGCTGTCACACCTGTATTCACTCCATCCATGTCTCTGTCATCTATCTATCTATCTATCTATCTATCTATCTATCTATCTATCTATCTATCATTCGTTTATCTATCCTTTGAAACTTTCTCTGCTACAATGTATATTGTCCATAATGTTTATTAAACTGTGTAATTCAGAATGATAAAAGTATAGATAGTTTACTATGGAAAGTATAACAGGATTGTGCTGCTGATGTTGCTGATGCTAAATACTCCATAACCATGTGTATCCTGAACAGGGCTACAGTAGAACTGTAAGCAGCACGTGTACTGTGCACATTATCTCAGAAATGAATTTGGTAAAGTTGTAACATTTTTTTTTCCGATAAAGGGATGCAAGGATGAGTTGGCAGTCTATGTGCCATATGTGCTTCTCCTGCAATCCCAATAAATTAAATATGTCATGAATGATCTTACCTATCATAAAATACGGATGTCAAGGTGTACGTTTTAGAACTATAGTTTGATGCAGCAGGGTGTTAAGCGGTATAGTAGGTGATCCCAATAGGGTATGCTCCCAAACATGCCCCCTAGTATTAGCCCGTGTCATTTATTTGTATACATAGCTATATCTTGTGTAGTGACTTGGGATGAGGAGAGGCATTGCCAGTCAATGTGTATTAGAATTACATGGAGGCTCTGTGTCTTCACATCGGTGTGTTTCGTGCTGTCATGATTGAATCAAGCTGGGGGGATAAGAGTCCTGTTAATGTAGTTGCGCATCATTTTTACTAATAATAGGGCATTTTATCCAGATAACTGCATACATATGGTACATGTCATTCAACTGCCTACATTACTTCTGTATTACAAGCATTAATGCTGAGATTACTCACAATAGTTGAATGCATATTACTATTCTGTGTCCAGTTCTATGTATTTGTTCTGTATCACACATGCATAGGTGAATTTACCTTGAACATTCTAGAGTTTATTTTATAACAAAAATGCAAAGAGCGTACCAGATTCATAATCTATACCAGATTCACTATATTTATCAATTCATCAGTTTGGAGCAGTAAGAGCAATAAACAAAAATGCTGGTGGGTTGCTTTGGGTTACAACACTTCCCAATAAGATGCCATCGATGTGGATATGGAGGGAGGTTTTTAGAGCCTGCTTGCTTAATGTATTATTGATATGCACTGTGAATGTGGCTGCCTGTAAACACAAGCAGAAGACTCATATCAGAGGGAATTAGGGCATTGCCAGCCTACTGCTGCTTATCTAAGAGGCAATTAAACTGTCTGTGAAAGGGTCCGGGAAGCAGCCAGTGTCTTTGTGTCTTGTGGACCAGTTAAGCAATTAGAGAGATGCTCAGTGTGAATCTTAACTTACGCAATCCCACACCATGTGCTGAATGCTTACAGTATTGTCCCAGTGAGAGTTCCTGTAGAGATAAAGTCCAGCGGTTGATGATGGTATACCATACAAAGGAATTTAAACTTTTCAAAAATATGCTTCGACTGTAATTCTTAAACTTTGAGATGAATCAGTCTGTGCCAATTCCCAACCCACTGGGGGTTATTTACTATAAGCAGCGGAGGCTGTTCACTTAGCAAAGTGAATGTTTATTGAGCTTAGTAAATAAGATGAAGCACTGCTCACATCAATCATGTGCTGGCAAAAATCCACATTTTAAAAATTTTCCTTGCATGTGTTTGGGTATTTAAAGTGAGCACAGGTTCACTTTATTTGCTATTATTCACTTTGTGAAGTGAACATTCACTTTGCTAAGTGAACTGCCTCTACTGTTTTAGCAAATAAACTCCTTTGTCTCATTATAACCCATGGCTATGATTTTTAAAAAATCCTCCTTTCTCTTCATGAGAACCAAGGTGATCTACATGAAATTTCACCCTCACTGGTCTAGTGACCTTTGAAAACCAGAATCTATTTCCTTTCATTGTATCCTTAATACATATGGAAATAAAGAGAGATAACTACTGCAACTAATATATGAATATATGGACAGTCCTATTACCCTCTATCGCTGCTCTATACTTTCTAATTTATGTTGTACATTAAATAATGGTCATAAGGTACTCCGGAAGGGCTCATCACATTTACCGATGAATAAATGTGTGGAGACACTTGTCATAATTCAATAAAACATCTGTTTACAGCATATTAAAGGCCTCCGGCATACAGTTTTGGTGTTGCTCCAGCTACATTGCTATATAACCTGATACTGCCTCATCTGGAGGCTAATTGATGCTGTTTTGTCTATTAAACTAGGAAATTCCCTTTTATATAATATAAGAATAAACAAGCATCATAAGTGTGTGAAGCTAAAAGAACAATATCATGCAAGTCAATGGCAAAGTAATGGTTATTAGTGGCAGTGTCTCTTGTAGCTGCCAGATTGTAATCTCTCCATCGAATTTCCTGTAACCTCAGGACATGTTCAGCAAAACAGTGATACAAACATTGATGCAAATACTGTGCAGATCCCCTCTGATACATCCACAGTAACATAACAAGTACAAAATTTAAGCTAAACATGTCAAATAAGTATAAAACGTAACCTCTTAAAATAGGTTTTATGATATGACACGCCACAATTACAGTACTGAAGCCTATAGAACCTTACTCACATTTACTTCCACATAACCCTCACTGCTCTAGTATATGTGTGTGACATATACGCATTAGTAGTTTCTGTTGAAAAAATAAAGAAATATCAATCTATTTAAAAGCAGAGACGGGATGTATCCACTAATGAAAAACATGCATTTCACTACAGCAAACAATATACTGTATAAATATAAGGACACAAGGCATATAATGTATGTATTTCAAGAGGATTTATTACTCTGAGTAAGAAAACTACCTATTTATTGACATGAATAAAAAAAGAATTCTGCTCCCAAGCTGCCTCATGTGATCTAAAGCCTAGGCAAAAAATCACATGGTCACTGAATACCAGGAGCTTTGCGGGCATTTCATTAAAGACTGCAGAAAGTCTATTGTTTTCAGTTAGACAGAACCTACCTGGACTTGCAGGGAGATATGCATATCAGCAAGACATAAACATGTGAAGCAATGTGCAGCAAAGAATATGTAGTGAGCAAATATGGCTGCCCCTAGGTAAACTATATGAGGTAACATGGCTTTTAATGGGATTCTGTCACCATAAGGCCATTTACAGAAAAAGACCTGCACTGTAAAAGGAGAGGCACTTCTTAAAACGCTGCAGGTATTTGACAGATCAGATAGGTGAAATGCCTGCTCTACCTGCTGCACACAATGGTTACTTCCACCACCTCATACCTCCAGATGTTCAAGCTGGCGCATGTGGCAGGAAGAGCGGAACATCACACACCAACAAGTGAAGAATACCTGCAGTGGCTGGAGAGTAGTGAATCCGTGATGCTTGAATCACCAATAAGGTAAGTACAGTGCCTCTTCTTTTATAGGGCTAGTCTTTTTCATAAGTGACCCTGTGATAGCAGAGTCACTATAATCCCATGGAAGATTATTCAGTTGATCTCTCTCTCAAGTACAAGATCTAAAAATTCCTGCGATTTTCTTTAACACAATTATTTTCCTTTGTTTTTTAACACATAAAGCTCAACCTTCTGATATTTGTTAGCAGGACTCTTAAATAGTGTGTGGTATATTATGTTGAATTCAGGTTTTTTGAATAATTTGACCATAATAACTAAAGATCAGCATATAAAAATAAATCTCTGAACTGCTAATGGTTTCCAGCAAACAACAGAACTGTGCTACAATCAGAAAACACTTTATTTTTCTGGGTTTGATATAATTTCCTGTAGCCAGATATAGGAGGCTTCTCGTATGTGCTTCTGGTGGGCCTGCTGCATTTTTTAATAGGATTCTTTGCCATGGTTGGCAAGTGTATGCCAGTGTATGCCTGAACTAGTAAATACATTGGCCTACATTTTCTTAGGCTCTGGGATTTAGATATTGAGGAGCAAAGTGCAGGCAATGAAAGTAACTAATTAAAATGACACCTTCAGTAGCTGGTCTGTGTCTTCCACTCAGTTCATTCTCAGGTCACCCAAGACTTCTTTTTCTAAGAAGCAGGAGACCTGATCTGTAGCAGACTTGGCCACCCACATTGATGGTCAGGGACCACTTCTGACTTCACTTGAGAAACACTGGGGGCAATCATTTGGTGGTGTTTTTCATGCACCATTGTAGCCCCTTAAGACTAGGTTCACACCTCGGTAACCCCTAACCGTGCGGCAATCGTGCACAAACCGCACAGATTGCCTGGTGGTCACGGAATCGCCCACCACAGCCGATTGCGCTGGAAGTGCCATTATTTTCTAATGGCACCCCAGTCGTGCCGGGTGGATCACGCAGTTTCCCGCCGCGATTAAACATGTGTGTCGCAAAAATAGGTACCTTTTTTAGCGATTGTCGTGCGTATGTAACCCCATTGAAATCAATGGGGCCGAGCGGCAACCACTGTGTGCACTAGCACGCGATTGCGCTGTCCCAGGACACGTGTCCCGGGTGTCACTCAGGTCTGAACCTAGCCTAATTATTTTATTCTTCCAGGTCACTGGATATCTGAGCATATAGGTACATGCATCTTAATACTTCACGTCGTTCTAAATGAGACAAGGGGCATCAAATGGTGGTACCCACATGCTTGGCCTGTTAGTTCTTGATGATGTCAGCTTGATGCTGGCAGTTTTAAGCACAAAGTTTTCAGCTCCCAGAACATTTGTAAATCCTGCAGCACCTTTAACTGCAAAGTGTCCTTATGTCTAAACTAAAGTACCCTCTAACTCTTAAAACTCCTGTTGATTGGCAGAGAGAGTACAGAGATTACCTAATCAGTGAGATGATGCTACTTCAGTATTCAATTACAGTCTTGGCCTGACTGTAATGTTTGACTGCTGTGGAGAAAAGCAAATGACATGCATAA